ATTTTGAAGAATGGCAAGCATTTGTCCGCTGACCTGGAGATAAATCGATGCAGAGCTACCACCCTTCCAGTCAATCTCTGTATATCTTTAATTGACTTCGGTGGTTCCATCTCGGCAATTGCTTTGATTTTTTCTGGATTGACCTCGATCCCTCTTCGGGATACCATGAAACCTAGAAACTTTCCAGATTCTACTCCAAAGATACATTTGGCTGGGTTTAACCGCATCCGGTTCTTTCTGAGGTTGTTAAAGGTTTCGTCGAGGTCGGCTAGATGGTTTTCTGCCTTCAGACTCTTTACCACAATGTCGTCCACATACACCTCCAGATTCTTGCCAATCTGAGCTCGGAAGACTATGGTCACCATTTTCTGGTAAGTAGCACCTGCATTCTTTAATCCGAATGGCATCATGACGTAACAATAGATCTCGTCGCCAGCATAGAATGAGGTCTTCTCTTCATCTTCTGGAGCCATTGGCACCTGGTGATACCCAGAGTATGCATCCAGGAGGCTTAACCTCTCGTTGCCTGAAGCTGCTTCAACTAATTTATCAATGCTCGGCAGCGGATAGCAATCCTTAGGGCAGGCGTTGTTAAGATTTGTGTAATCAATACACATTCGCCATTTGCCATTTGCCTTCTTCACCAGAACTGGGTTAGCCACCCATTCGCAGTAATCAACTTTCCTGACAAAACCAGCCTGTAAGAGCTTCTCCACCTCTTCTTTAACAGCCTGAAGCCTCTCCCCCCCCAAGAGACGCCGCTTCTGGGCCACTGGTTTCTTCAATGGGTTGGTACTGAGCTTATGTTGACATACTGAAGTTGGAATTCCTGGCATATCCGCCGAAGTCCATGCAAATACATCATTGTTAGCTCGGAGAAAAGCAATCAGTTCTGCTCTCTCTTCTGGGTTCAATCGAGTTCCGATCTGCGTTTTTCGGCTCGGATCTCTGTCATCAACCAGCACTTCTTCAACATCTTCAACCGGAGCAGCTCTGGTTTCATCATCCGGTCGATTATCAATGATCTCTACACCCATTACCTGCTGATTATCAGGAATCTGCTGGGGAATGACCTCAGGTGTCTTATCTTTACCCTTCTTTGGTTGTGTTACCGAGGTGATATAACAGTGTCTGGCCACCTCCTGATTTCCTCTCAGTGTTGCTATTCCCATAGGTGTGGGGAACTTCATGCAGAGGTGAGATTGGGAAACCACAGCTCGGATCTCGGTCAATGTGGGTCGGCCAATAACAATGTTAAAAGAAGAGGCCATCTTGACGACGAGGAACCGAACTGGAGGGGCTACATAGGTCCGACCACTTCCAAAAGCCACATGGAGGGTAAGAACTCCTTCTACAGGAACAGGTTGGTTGTTGAAACCATAGATAGGACCATCATACTTCTGCAACAATGCTGGATCCAGTCCCAGACTCTCGAAACAGTGAAAATACATGATGTCTGGTGCACTCCCGGTGTCAACAAGGACACGTTGCACTTCACAGTTATTGATGATGACAGAAGTGACCAGGGGATCATTGTGGGGTGTAACAACTGTGTCGAGGTCAGCAGTTGTGAAAGTAATGGGTTGATTCTTCCATTCAGCATCATCAATTTTCCGTTTCTGAGCTCGGTTCTGATGCTTAACCTCTCTGACATACAGCTTTCGCTGTTTAGAGCTCAGTCCTCCTGCTTCAAGGCCTCCCGTAATCATATGTATGATTCTAGCCGGTGGTGGGAGCGGAGGTGGCGCTTGCTGATATCCCACGCCTTGTCTATTCGGGGGATTGCGGACTCCTTGAGGTTGCGGCCTCTGCTCTCTGACAAACCGTGGCTGTTCAGTTCTCTGCACATACTCATTCAGCATTCCCTTCTGAGCTAAACTTTCCAGTTCGAACTTTAAGCTGTTGCACTGCTCTGTAGTATGGCCGTGGTCTTGATGAAAATCACAGTATTTAGTGTGGTCTCGACTAGCAGCAGCAGTTCGCATTGGGCCAGGACGTCTCAAGTCCATTTTGTTCTTAATCTGCATAAAAATTTGTGATCTCGGCAGAGTAAAGGGAGTCCAATTAACTGGAGGTTTACCTGCATATTGCTGCGGGGGTGTTGAGTTCGTCCTTCCGAATCTCGGTGGGGAGGTCAACATCGGACCTCGGTTCTGTGCCATCCTCATCCTTTTCCGGCTCGAATTGTCATCCCTCCATTCTGGGTTCTGGTTCTTAGAGGGGGGTGGATTTTGCGCCAGGGCATACTCCTCAGCGGTTATAAACTTGAGAGACCTATCATTCACCTCGCTAAAGGTGATGGCAGCATGTTTAATCAAACTGTCCCTGAACCTGTCATGCTTGAGACCAGCGATCACAGCGGCAATTCCCACAGCTTGATCAAAAGAACTAACCTCTAAAACTGCATCATTAAACCTGCTCATATAGTTCTTCAGAGATTCTCCATCCCTCTGTTTAACTCTCATCAACTCAGAAGTAGTTTTCCTAATCAGCCTTCTGCTGGAAAACTTAGTGGCAAAGGCAGATGCCATTTCTGTATACGAGCTAATTGACCTCGGAGGCAAACTATAATACCAAGTTCGGGCGTTACCTCGGAAAGTAGAGGGGAAGATCTTGCACATCAACGCGTCAGAGGCGTTCTGAGCTTGCATGCAGGAATAGAAAGCATGTAGATGGTCATCGGGATCCTTCGTCCCGTCATAAGTCTCCAGTTGTGGTATCTTGAAGCCAGAAGGATAGGGTTCCAGAGTAATGTTGGTATTCAGTGGGTGAGGTATAGAATCAGCAGCATGGTGTGGGGGTGGAGCACCTCGGTGTTCAGCTACTAGCTTTTCCAAGCTATCAAGGCGGCGAGTAACATCATCAGGGATAGGTTGTTGAGCGGGTGCAACGTGGGATTGAGCCTGAGACTCGCTAATGGCAGGAGCGGGTTGAACCGGTTGAGGGTTCTGTTGTGGGGCTGGGGGTTGTTGAGCAGGGTTGAGTAAGTTAATGAGGGGATCACCAGGGTTGTTTCTAGCTAAAAGTTGAGCCAATACCAATTGAAAAACACCAAACTGCTGCTGCATGGCAGCAAGCTGAGCTGTCACTACATCTTGGTTGGCAATAGAAGCTGAGTTATGAGCTGAGGCATGAGGTTGGTTTTCATCTCCTCCTTCTGCATGATCAACAGGAGGGAACATAACTGGGACCTGAGGTGGAAACTGAGGTGGGAGCTGAGGTGGGAGCTGAGGTGGGAGGTTGTTGGGGGGTTGACCTTGCCCAGGAGGCAGAGATGAATTACCAGCTCTGACTGATCGAGTGTAGACCATGGTGGAAGAGCAACTAGCAAACTTTCAGTTCGATTCCCACAGACGGCGCCAATGTAATTGCACCAAACCAGAAGTCTTTCTTCAGTCCGCACTCGCACTTCGGAATGACCTGCAAAGCCCCGAGGTGGAACTCGGGGTAGACACTCCGA